AATGTCTTTCAGTGAATTAATACTTTCAAAGAGCTCTACAGGACCTACCGCTTGTACTACCACCTTGAAATTCAGATATGTTATACCTCAAAGTGTCTATTATGACAACAAATACTAAAATTGGTAAGTTATCTAACAACTTTTTGAATTAACAAAGACTTTATATATGTATGTATTAATGTAAAGTGTGGCTATGAATGAATGTCTATGAGTGAAATAATTCTCAGAAGATTACTATTTTCAAAGAGCTCTACAGGACGCAGCGCTTATGATACAAACTTGTAATTCAGATATGTTATACCTCAAATTGACTATTATAAGATCAAATACTAAAATTGATGGGTTTTCTCACAAAATTTGGAATTAGAAAAGATTTTATCAATAGATGTCTTATATGTAGAGTGGTGTAGACGATTAATCTATGGGTAAACCGAGTCTCAAAAGATTAATATTTTCAAAAAGCTCTGCAGGACGCACCGCTTGTACTACAACTTTGTAATTCGGATATGTCGTATATCAAAGTGTCTATTATGAAAACAAATACTAAAATCGATAGGTTTTCCAACTGAATTTTGAATTAAAAAATAAGTTTACCATCAATGTCATATATGAGTATATGGTGTAAATGAGTTTCGGAAGATAAGTATTTTCAAAGAATTCTGCAGGACGTACCGTTTGTACTACAATCTTGTAATTTAGATATGTAATTCTTCAAAGTGTCTATTATGACAACAAATACTAAAATCAATAAGTTTTCTAACAACTTTTTGATTTAAAAAATATTTTACCTACGAATGTCATATATGAGTATATGGGAGAAATGACTCCCAGCAGATTAATATTTTCAAAGAGCTCTACAGGACGCACAGTTTGTACTACAACCTTGTAAATAAAATATTTCAAGCTTGAAAGTGTCTATTTTGTCAACAAGTACTAAAATCGGTAGGCTTTCTAACAATTATTTGAACTACAAAATATTTAAATCAGTACTCACCGAGTGACAAATAACACTCCCTAAGTACATTCTGGACATGTCTGCCCCCATTTTCTGAAATAACACAATCCAAAGGTCTCGATAGACACTTGGGACCCATTCCAAAGTCGTTGATGGATTGGAACCACAATTCACAGTAAAGGATTGCCGTGAAGTAAGCAGCATTGCATTTGGCAGCATGTGCGACGTGAAGATAGTTCAGGGAAAGATCACACCTGAAAAAAAATATATATATATAAGGGTGGCCCTTAATATGGACAGTTTCGAATTTGTTTGCTCCCAGGGGCTCAAATGCTTTCGAATTGAAGAAAGAAAATTCTCTGAAAGTTTTAGCTCTTAATATTAACATTTAGATAGTCCGCAATTCAATTAAATAATTTCCCACCTTTGGTATAATTTTGGGATTAGCACGAATTTTTCAAGACTAAGAGTGGCCAAATCCGTTTTAAAACCTTATAATACCTAACATTTTACTAAGCTCCATTTTTATAAATAAGATATATATATATATATATATATATATATATATATATACAGGGCCGGTCCTGCCTTGCATGCGATGCAATTAAATTTATAATATAATATTTATATTTTTTATATAAAATCTAGAATTATTTATTTAAAATCTGAAATACTTAATAAATTATAATAAATAATTTAACTTAACTAGGGATACGGAGGCACAAAAAGCATATTTATTTTGCAATGTGATATCAGTAGAAACAATTAACCGATTAATAATTCTGCAAATTAGTAAATAACAGCTCTGTTTATTGCTTAATCTCCTTATTCAATTTTTTCTTTATTTGAAGTTACCGTTAAATCGAAAAAGAAATTATCTAGTGTTCAATTCCATAAGCGCAAACCTGCGAAAGATTAAATTAATTGTTGGGCATTATTGACGAAAAATTGCGAGCTGATTTAGTTCAATCGGAACTCGTTAAAAATATAAACAAACTATACAAAATGCGAAGCCAGTGCTTAGAAAATGACTTGTTTATTCCGAGAAATTGAATTGTAACTTTTGCTTTTGTTGCAAATGTTTCGCATCTGTTGAACTTTGAATGTTGAAAACATGCGTGGAACAAATATGAAAAATGGAAGCAAAATTTACTTTGGAACGAAAATCTTAAGGCTTGCTTTATACCTAGTGGTGCCCATACTCTAAATTTAATAATTATTAACTATACAGAAATAATACATATCAAATATAACAGGTTTTTTTTCAATGTTGTTCAAGAAATGTGTAAATCCTTTACATTTTTTACTGATTTTTGAACAATAATTCTGAAATACGTTAAAAATTTAACTTTAAAACAACAAACTGATACTCTGAATATGACGGCTCTTACGATATCAATAAGGAGAAGTTTACGACGCAATTTTGGATATTGTAAATGATGAAAAATTAAATTAAATTAAAATTTAAAAAATCCAACATAAAATACGAGTGTTATGTTTGAAAATTAAATGCTAGTTTCTTTAAATATTAACATTGCACATACGTTAAAAATAATTGAAAATTTCAAAATACTTGATTATAATCAACCCCCGAATCGCCTCGATTTTCTAAATAAATTTAAAATCAATATATTTTATACGCTTTTAAATTATATCTATTTTTTTTTGTGCACTAAATCCAGAATAAATAAAAATTAATTTATTCATTTCACTTAATATTTTTGTTAAATTAAAGTTATAGAATTTAAAAAATGCATTTCAGAAATAGTATTTATTATTTTGATATCAAGATCTTTATATCAAAATAATAAATACTATTTCTGAAATGCATTTCTTGAATTCTATAACTTTAATCTAACAAAAATATTAATTCTTTTGCTATGGTAGTCGAACTTACATCCTTAACCAATAATTTGCTACATATTTTATATTACTTAAATGTGAAATTATGACAGGAATTGTTTTATTTATTGATATCGATAATAATAAATAAATTTATAATCAATATATTTTATACCCTTGTAGATTATATCTAATTTTTTGTGTACTAAATCCAGAATAACTAAATAATTTTTAAAAAATATGTAAATATTTATATAATTTTAATGATAAACTGTTAAAACGGTGAAAATTAAAAGGGGAGGGGGGGCGCTAGAAAAAAAGTTGCATGCGGGCGCTAAGGACCCCAGGACCGGCCCTGTATATATATATATATATATATATAAAATATATTAATATTTATTATTCTACTTACTTTTGGTCAAGTCTTAAACATTCTACAACATTCAGCATACATTGAATTGATGCCTTGTTGTTGTAAACAGAATTATCACTTCCATTTCCATTTACCAAAGTTTGGATACTAGAATTTTCAAAATGTTTTTTAAAAAATTCTCTCAAATGATCACATATTACTTTGTTGAAAGCATCATTCTGAAACTCGGTCAACTGTTTTATGAGGGCTGGAAAGATTTTTTCTGTAAACACCAACTGAAATAAAAAATAATTATAATATAAATAAATAAATAAATATATATATATATATATATATATATATATATATATATATAGAAATACGACAGTAGTACTCCGATATACGAGTTTTAGGAATATAATTTAAACCAAAACAAAAGAAGGTTGTAGCTAGTAATAATTTAAAAATTTATAAATACATATTCAAGTTTATTAATAATGCTAAGATTAATTTATAAGTTAATCATTTAATAAGACTTTGTATTAAACAATTGTAAGAATGGCATCTGGCCAAATGATGCCAAAAGCCAATAAAAAAAATAAAACTAGTTACAAGTAGAATTCTGTCTTAAGGCAATTAGGGCATCGTGCCTTAAGGCAAATTGCTGGAACTTCCCGTACCGCAATTCAAAATTCGAGTAATTAAAAATAAAAATAATAATCAATAAAAGTTTATCAATGATTTGAAACTTTTAATAGAATTTCGAACCATATTAAATCATTCTGTCTTAAATCATTTATTTTGAAATATTTTGGAAATTCGGAACTTTTTTTCTAAGCAATCGTACTGCTGCATAAAGACAAAATATCGAACGCGTAAATATTGGTACGGAACCCATAGCAATGTAAACAAAATTTTTATTTATTGTTAAAATCTCTATAAATTATCTAATTATTTGATGTGAATATGTCTAATGTTTATTTTTGACCGCCAAATGGCTCATTTTTTTACTTTTTCCTCCATATCTCCGAAGTCATTGCACCTGCCTCTCTAAGAATTTGAACAGTTCTTCACTCAGTTAATACAAATAAAATGTTTTTTGAATTATTCAAATCGGACGATCCGTTCTCTTAAAAACGGAGTTACCGTTTTTGGCACTTTTATCCCCGTATCTTTGGAACGGCTAGACCTGCCTTCGCCAAAAACTAATCAGCACGTATCCTTATCAATACAAATCGAATGTTTTTTGAATTATTCAAATCGCTTCATTCGTCTTCTCGAAATCGTCGACGAAAATTTGTATCCGCACACACACACGCACACGTACACACACACATACATCCATTTTTTCTCTGAAACGTAAAGATATATAAAAATTTTTATTTTCGATTTTTTTGCGATTACTGTAACTTGCCCTACGGGAAGTTAAAAAATTGTTTCGTGACCATGCTGGTATGTCCAATCCCTCGCACAATAAATGATAAAAATTATTCTTACTATAAACGTAAATAATACTTTATAAATCTACAAAAAGCAAAAAAAACTATGTACACCTATACCCCGTTTTACACGGTAAATACATTCCAGAAAAAACGTGTAATTTCATAAAACAGCCAAAATATTTTTTTGTAACAAAATTTTTCATATGTTTCAGTTCGTGTCTCAACTCATGCTCGTAAGTCAAAGCAACAAATCGCTCCATTACCGGGGCACCACTGAATATTTGCATTACTTACCTTCCGTTTGCATATAGGTATCAACTTCCTCAAAAACGACTCCTCTGGAAACCCTTCCAAAATCCTCGTCGTCAACCTGGTCAACCAACCCTTGTGATCACAGTTATCTCTCGGTGTCCAAACGTCAGCAACATCAACATTCTTTTTAAAATCATCTTCACTCAACACATAACTACTAAGCATATTCTTCAAATTGTTTTGAATAAACGGTCTATATTCCAAAATCTGTTCAACATCACCCTGTCGTTTCTGCAGCTTCAACCATTCGAAACCTTCCTTGGATTTGAAAATGCTGTACAAGACTTTTGAGGTATCGTGGACCACTTGGATATCTGTATCGATTAACAGTAGTATCGATTCTTTTAAGACAATGTTGAGTAAAGTTTGTTTGAAGTTGGTGAAGGAAGATTCGCTGGTTAGGATCATTGTTGTCAGATCCACAGGTCCAAGTTCGCCTAAACATTTGGATGCTTCCAAACATACTGATTTGTCTTTGGAGCATATCAAAGTCAGTAAGGAGCATATAAGTTTGTGGACGAGGCTGCATTCGCAGTCTTCTGAAAACCCGCGCATCGTCTGCAAGTCTTTTAAAATCGACACCCATTTTTTTCTTGTTGGCGGTCAAAACTTTCCGTAAGTTCCTCAACAGTTCAACGTGTACTTTGAGCTCTTTTGAGTTTGTGGTTTGTATGAAAAAATCAAGTTCATCCCTCAACGATTTGTCTTTGGGCATCCCTTTGAGGGATTCTAACATTCTACAAAGTTCCAAAAACTTTGGCTCCGTAGGCAAAGGATCCAAATGGTGTATAAACACTTTCAAACCAACATACTGATCAACCAGCAACATTTTTAAATAAACCAAACAATCTTCTTCAATCCTGGTTTCGCACAAGGACACCATGGTGCCGACCACGAACTTCAAATACTTCCCGAAAATACTCGAGTGTTCCACCAGAACCACTTCAGTAAACTTCGACAAATACTTGAGCACAACTTGTTGTATTTTATAATCCTCGTTGTTAAGTATTAAATTTATTAAACTGTGCGTTATGTCTCGTATCAAATACACTTCCATGTTTCCCAAATCTGAATTGGTTTTTAGTTCGTCGTTTATCAAATCCAAAAATATGGTGTAATGGTGAAACCTTAGAAGTTTCTCTTGGGTCGATAGAGATTTGTAGATTTTTTGTACGGTTGACGTGAGTAGGGTTTGCAGTTTGCTCGGATTTTCTGTGCAGATGCTGATCATGAATGACGATTTGGATTTCTGTAAATATAATACATACATATATATATATATATATATATATATATATATATATTATTATATATATATATATATATATATATATATATACCAAGTGTTACGATGTTGGTTCGCGATGGACGCCCAAACTACTGAACCGATTTTGAATTTTATTGGCTCAACGTGTGCATATATATCCAACTTAGGTTATAGGAAATTTTGAAAAGTAAATTTGAAATATAAATATATAATTTTTATAAATTTCTAAAAATTTTGACAGAAAATGGCCAAAAAAAAAACAAAACACTAAAATGACAAATGTCAAAATTTATGGAAAATTCGAGAAAAAAAGATTTATGATTTTTGAAAAAGAAATTTGACAGTTCAAAAAATATAATTCAAAAACATGTACATATATAGATATATTCAACATTTATATCCAAATTAGATGAAATGCTATATTCAAAATCACTGTTTATAGTTTTAAATCTAATTAAAAATCAATGTTTATAAATTTTAATAAATGTTGACATGAAAAACATCAAATTTCATTTATCAATATTTATAAAAATAATTATATAAATAGATTTACAATTTATATTTATTTGATTAGCTTACCAAATTATTTCGGATACCAAAACTTCATCAAAACATTATAGGTCAGAGATCACAATAAAAAAGCGACATATTGAATTTAAAATTAATCATAAACAAAATTTTAACATTTCACAAAAAAAATGTTTAACGACTTCAATAGGAAACAAATAAATTAATTATTCCAAGTTATGTTATAGGCAACATTGCCAAGCAAATTATAGACACAAAACATTATTGTAAAATAAATATTATCATATTATATTAATTTTGGACCAAGAAGGAAATATTTTGACATTTATAAATTTAGTGCATATTGGATATATGAAATTGACATTCACTCTTAAATTAAATGCAAAAGTAAAAAATCTTGGAAAGTATGAAATGTCAAATTAATTTTGAAAATTATTTTTAACTATTTGTCAGAAAGAACATATTTTATTACAAATTCATATCAATATCAAGCACCAAAGTAATAAATAATACTTATTAATGACATTTTATTTATAGACAATATTTAATGAATAGTTTAATTATATTTTTTGACATTTGCTAATTCAAAATAAATTAAAAATAGTTGAAAACAATGTCATAAATCGGATATTTATGGAAAAACATTAAATAAATATATTTATGTTTCACTTGATTTCAAATAAAGAAAAAACTAATTGCTATGCCAAAATAGATAGTATATTCATCTAAAATTATAGTCTAAAAATTACAATTTTGATAAATTATCATCCATTATTTTACAGTACGAAAATTGATAAAAAATTAATAAAAGTGCCAAAAAATCAAACATTTTATAGATTTGGACTCGGATTTCTCAGAACTTTATCCATGTTAGTTTCAGGGATAGTATGAATATCAATTTATAGTCGAAAATTTATATGATAAGTGATTAAAAAATTATAGATCACAATAAAAACGCGACATGTTGAATTTAACATTATACATAAACAAAATTCTGACAGTTCAAAAAAAAAAGAATTTTTAGCGACTTCAATAAGAAACAAATAAATTAATTATTCCAAGTTATGTTATAGGCAATATTGGCAATCAAATTATAGATATAAATTATATCATATTATATTAAATTTCGACCAAAAAAGAAATATTTTGGCATTTAAAAATTAAGTGCATATTGGATATATGAAATTGACATTCCATATTTTTAAATTAAAAAATCTTATATTTATATAAAGTATTATATATTCAGATAACGGTACTGCGTCGATTCAGACTAAAATCTAATTTATTCATTGATTAAAAAAAATATTTCACTATTTGACACAAATAAAATTAAAATAAACAAAACACTATGATGCGTTCGAATTAATTATCGAAATGTAAAGAAAATTGTGTAATAAAAATATAACATTATTATTAATATATCACGTATATTATAAGAACTTCTGCAAAGCGGCAAAATAATTTTGATGGCGAAACAGCGTTTGCCGGGTCAGCTAGTATATACATATATATATATATATATATATATATATATAATTAAGTAAAACATTACTCACATAAACCTTATCGAGTGCCCTAACAACCTGCTCCCTCGTCAACACAGGACACTGCAGCTCCGGCAAAGCCTCGACCTTCCCAAAACTCTTATTATAATCACTGGTATCAAAAACATGTCCAACAAGTTCACCAACGACTTCATCACAAACATTCTGTATCTCACTCGACAAACGTTTCCCATCATGATCATAAGCCACGGACAGAACATCTGACACAGCCTCGATCCTCGAGTCTTCCAATTCTTGATAAATTAATAATAGTGTAACGATTTGTACCAGATTTGCTTTGGCAACTGTTTCTTTGTCTTTGCCAATTTTTGTGCAGAAGGCGTCCAAAGTGTTTCCGCTGAGTACGGGACCTATCATGATATGTTGGCATTGTTGCAGGAAGTCTTTGGTTGAGTGAATGTCCAGGATTGTTTTGGGGAATTGGGAGAAATCGCTTTTCCAGTTGCTCAGAATGTAGGGCATGTATTCTTGCAGGAGTTGGTGTTTGGTGATTGATAATTGTTGGGCGATTAGGTTTATTGTATCGCAAAGGATATCTGCAAAAAAAAAAGAGTGCGCCTAAGGTTCACACGCGATTGAAGTAAAACTTATGTTTGCTACTGTACAAGATGGCATTTAAGTGAAAATAAATACATTATAAAACAATTTTGAATAGTGTTCATTAGTAATATGGTAACACTCTCCTGATGCACACATTTATTAGTGTCGTCAACCATTATACACTACTAGTGTAAAAATTCGAAAATGTCCATATTAAGGACCACCCTAGTGTAAACACTAGGGTGGTCCTTAATATGGACATTTTCGAATTTCCTTGCTCCCAAAGACTCAAATGGTTCTAAATTGATAAAAAGCAATTTTCTGAAAGTTTTAGCTCTTAATATTAACGTTTAGATAGAGCGCAATTCAATCAAAGTTTTGTATGGAAATAGCATGAAAATATTTTCAAAAATTTTGCAGAGCGTCGAATTTTCAATAAAAAGTGACATGAATTTTCACTTTTAATTTATTTGTCGCTAAGTTATACCTAAAAATTTCTTAATTTTTCAAAAAAAATTCCATGCTGTTTCCATACAAAACTTTGGTTGAATTGCGCTCTCTCTAAAAGTTAATATTAAGAGCTAAAACTTTCAGAGAATTGCTTTTTATCAATTTGGAACCATTTGAGCCCTTGGAAGCAAGGAAATTCGAAAATGTCCATAGTAAGGACCACCCTATTATACACATTTATATAATGATAAATTAGAAATTATAATTTTTATAATGGCATTAAAAATATGTTCACCTAAGTCTGTTTTTACACGGTAGATTGGTTCCAGAAGAAGCCGTGTAAAAAAAAAAACGTGTAAAAAAAGACATTGATCTTATACAAAAATGGGTGATTTGTTCCTAATCTCTAAAACCTATTAAAATTAGTGAAAAACAAGAATTTTTAGGGTGTTTCCCTAAATTAGTGCTATTCACATTTGCTTTGACCAGTAAAAATTGTTTTGTACGCCCTAAAGGGGAATTTACTGAAATCTTTAAGCTAAGGTTCGCAAACTAACGATACTATAGATGGTTTCAGACTTTTTTCTTTCATAAATACTTTTTTGTGATATGAACATACTTCGCAAAAATTAAATTTGACAAAAAAATTTAAGTACATAAAATTTCAAATCGTGCTAAACGGAATAAAATCGTGTAAAAAACGTTCAATTTTCAAACCGTGTTATATCAAAACCGTGTACAAAAGAACCGTGTAAAAACAGACTTAGGTGTATAATATTTAAAACAATAATGTAATTAAAGTCTTACTTCAAATACGACATGATCGGTTTGTCATTGTAATTTGCATTTAGGACTTGTACCTTTATATGAGAAATGAATTAATTGCTGATTAATAAATTCTACAATATTCGTTCACACGATTATGTTAAACAACGCCTAAACGAATATTGTTTTCACAATTTCACTCAAAATTTTATTATTCTTTTTTTAGGTTTATTATTATGTTCGCCCAAAAAGTCCAAACGAAATCTCAGGTTCATATTTGAAGAGCAAATATTTAGCAGAACGCAAAACCGAATTGCCCAATGAAATTCTAAGGATCGAACGTTATAAACCGGAGATATCAGGATTATCAGTGGTAAATAATTCAATTAATAATGATATGATATACGAGTTATCTATAATAAGCATCTACCTCGAAGTAGATAGTAAAAATTCAGCCAGAATCTAATATTATTCTAGCAAGAAGGCAGTAAGATTGCAAAAAAGCAACCAGGTAATATACAAAAATTCCAATAAGAACTTCAAAGGATTTTTCGGGGTCTAATAAGAATTTCGCGAGAATAGAATATATATCAGATTCTTATTAGGCTGTGTTTAGAATCTTCTCATATTATTATTACCAAAAGAATTTTTAACTTCCCGTAGGGTAAGTTATTGTAATGGGCCGAAAATCGGAATTGAAAATTTTTACATTTCTCGACGTTTTGAAGGTTTCTGAACGTTTTGGCATACCTCAGAAAAAATGGATGTGTGTGTGTGTGTGTGTGTGTGTATGTATGTATGTGTGGATACAAATTTCCAGTCGCGTTTTAGGGCGCACGGATCAACCGATTTGAATGGTTCAAAAAACATTCGATTCCTATTGATTGGGAAAAGAGCTGATTAGTTTTTGGCAAAGGCAGGTCCAGCCGTTTCGGAGATACGGAGCAAAGAGTGCAAAAAATAGAAATCGAATTTTTGAGCGAACGGAGTATCCGATTTGAATGATCTAAAAAACATTCAATTAGTAATGATTGGGAGAAGTGTTTATTAGTTTTTGGCAAAGGCAGGCCCAGCCATTTCGAAGATACGGAGCTAAATATGTAAAAAATGGCAGTTTTTGAGAGAACTAAGCGTCCGATTTAAATGATTCAAAGAACTTTCTGCTTGTCTTAACAAAATAATTGATTTTGGAAAAAAAAATTTTGTTCCAATTTTTTTTTTTTTTTTTTTTTTTTAGTATTTTGTATATCGAAAATATTTCAGATTTTATTTTTATTCTGACTATAGTTCTAATATACTTTAGAAATAATTTCAACTCTGCAATTCGGTTTATATAATTCTTATAAATATTAGACAATGTTACTATATTTATAATAATCTATTTGAAAACATTCAATATTCCTCGAACATTTCGTTACGGTGCGGGAAGTTCCAGCAATTTGCCTCAAGGCACGATGCCATAATTGCCTCAAGACAGAATTCCACTTACAGCTAGTTTTTTTTTAATTTCAATAATTATTACAACTGTTAAATAATTAACATCTAGTAATATTGATAAATAATAACATAAATTTAAATAAATAAGAGAGCAAAGGATAGAATTTACATAAAAATATCCGTAGTATGATGATTTAATATAAAATAAAAGCAAATAATAATAAAAATAAAATTAATAAATAATATAAATAAAATAAGAAGAATAATTGCAGAATAATATTAGTCTCTTATCAGAAATCTTGTCAGAATCATATTGAATTCTGGCAAGATTTATATTAGATTCTAGCTTGATTAATATTAGATTCCAAGCCGATTCCCAGTAGATTCCCAGCTTTTTACGATACTAAAATAAAATTCTAACTAAGTTCCTAACAGTTTGACTTGATTATCATTATAATCAAACTTAATCCCTATTAAGTTACTACTTGAATCTATCTTGACTCGACTAAAAATCTATTTAGTATTTTAACTTCTCGCAGGGCAAGTTATAGTAATCGCCAAAAAAAATCGAAAATGAAAATTTTTGTATATCTTCACGTTTCAAAACCTTCTGAACATTTTGGCATACCTTAGAAAAAATGGATGTATGTGTGTGTGTGTGCGTGTATGTGCGTGTGTTCGGATACAAATTTTCGTCGACGATTTCTGGAACACGGATGAAGCGATTTGAATAATTCAAAAAACATTCGATTCGTATTGATAAGGAGACACTGATTAGTTTTTGGCAAAGGCAGGTCTAGCCGTTCCGAAGATATGGGGCAAAAAGTGCCAAAAACGGTAACTCAGTTTTTAAGAGAACGAAGCGTCCGATTTTAAAAATTGAAAAAACATTTTACTTGTATTAACAAGATGAAGAACTGATCAAATTTTCATGGAGGCAGGTCTAGCGGTTTCGGAGATCTAAAGAAAAAAGTAAAAAAATATGCCATTGGGCGGTCAAAAATGATCAATAAATTATCAGATATTTTACAACATTAAATTATCAGATATATTATAGATATTTTAACAATAAGTATAAATTTTGTTTACATTCCTATGGGTTCCGTACCAATGTTTATCCGTTAGACGGCGACGCGGCGCTTACGCGCTTCGATATTTCGTCTCTATTGTTTGTAAGTACGATTGCTTTGAAAAAATGTTCTGAATTTCCAAGATATTTCAGAATAAATTTTTCTTCAAAAATTCTTTTTTTTTCCAAAAAAAGAAAATTTTTGTTAAAAATTTATAGTTTCTCAAAAATCTAATTTTTTCAGAGTAAATTTTTTTCAAAAATGTTAATCTTTCAAAAAAAATAATTTTTGGTTTAAAGATTTATAGAAACTACGAATAATATAGAAAAATTTCTAATCAATAAACTTACGTTTAGTACATAGCACAAATGTTTATTTTGTTTTATTATTTTCAAGGAAATATTCTTCTGACTCAGGCATTTTTCATTAAATCAAGATTTGTACTACGATGTAAATTTAAAATCATAATTGACCCGTAAAGAAAGGATATCATTGCAAGCGAATGATGAAGAGTTCGGGCGTAACGGACTTCCGTTGCATTTGTACGGATTTACACCCTAGTCGCGCCTAAAGAAGTTTCACTTCAAAAATAAAAATTATTTTACCTGTATCAATATTCTTCTCGACCTTCATCTCCAACAAAAACAGCATCACCCGAGGTCTATATTTAGCATTGACAGCTCCAATACCGGCAAGTACATGCAAATCGGTCAATATTTTCGTCTCTCGTTTATCAATTGACACTAATTCGTTCTCCGAATCAGAAACTGCCAAATCCTCCTTCAGAGTTGCACAAATATCTCGAAACAGTTCATCAGTTAGTTTTAGATATTTATCGTGGTCGGATATTTGTCGAGATTGCAAATCGAACAGTTTTGAAAAACATTTGGCGACCTCGAGTCTTATGGAGAAAAATCGCTTTTTAAGAACTGAACAATGCGGAAGAAGAGAGGAGTCCCGTTTTGCATTCTTGACCAGGAGGACGAGGAATCGACCTGAAAATAATAATAACTAGGTAAGGCATAAACTTCAGTAAGCTTTGTCAAAAATTTTATTTTTGGCTATTTTCAGCGATATAGATTGAATCACAAGCGGAACAATTTATTTATTTATTTATTAACTTCCCGTAGGGTAAGTTATTGTAATGGGCCGAAAATCGGAATTGAAAATTTTTACATTTCTCGACGTTTTGAAGGTTTCTGAACGTTTTGGCATACCTCAGAAAAAATGGATGTGTGTGTGTGTGTGTGTGTATGTGTGTGTGTGTATGTATGTATGGATACAAATTTCCAGTCACGTTTTAGGGCGCACGGATCAACCGATGTGAATGGTTCAAAAAACATTCGATTCCTATTGATAGGGAAAAGAGCTGATTAGTTTTTGGCAAAGGCAGGTCCAGCCGTTTCGGAGATACGGAGCAAAGAGTGCAGAAAATAGAAATCGAATTTTTGAGAGAACGGAGTATCCGATTTGAATGATCTAAAAAACATTCAATTAGTAATGATTGGGAGAAGTGTTTATCAGTTTTTGGCAAAGGCAGGCGCAGCCATTTCGAAGATACGGAGCTAAATACGTAAAAAATGGCTGTTTTTGAAAAAACTAAGCGTCCGATTTAAATGATTCAAAGAAATTTCTGCTTGTCTTAACAAAATAATTGATTTTAGAAAAAAAAAATTTGTACCATTTTTTTTTTTTTTTTTTTTTTTTTTTAGTTTTTTGTATATCGAAAATATTTCAGATTTTATTTCTAATTCTGACTATAGTTCTAATATACTTTACAAATAATTTCAACTCTGCAATTCAGTTTATATAATTCTCATAAATATTAGACAATGTTACAATATTTATAATAATCTATTTGAAAACATTCAGTATTTCTCGAACATTTCGTTACGGTACGGGAAGTTCCAGCAATTTGCCTTTGTTTGCATTCCTATGGGTTCCCTACCAATGTTTATTCGTTAGACGGCGACGCGGCGCTTACGCGCTTTGACATTTCGTCTCTATGCAGTGAAAGCAGTACGATTGCTTTGAAAAAAAGTTCAGAATTTCCAAAATATGTCAAAATAAAGAAAAAAATTTTTTTTCAAAAAAAAAAAAATTAAAAAAAAAATATTTTTTTTAAAAATTTTTTTTTTCAAAAAAAGTAATTTTTTGTCCAATTTGTAGTTTCTCAAAAATCTTATTTTTTCAAAGTAATTTTTTTTCAAAAATGTTGATCGTTTTTAAAAAAATAATAATTTTTAGTACGGGAAGTTCCAGCAATTTGCCTTAAAGCACGATGCCCTAATTGCCTTAAGACAGAATTCCACTTACAGCTAGTTTATGGCTATTTTTAGCGATATAGATTGAAGGGTTTTTGCCTTTGTAAAAATAGTATTAGCAGTTGTGTAAATTATTATTTTCCTCACCTCTGCCAAAGTTTTCATACAATCCATCAACTCGATAGTGACCCACGGTCCATAATTATTTTTCCAGCACTGTATAATAAACGACGACAGCATAATAACCACATTATTCTTCGTCGAACCAGCCTCCAGCGCACTAACAGATGGCAGCAGCTTTTTCAGCAGGTTCAAAATCACAAAACTGGCCTCCGAATTCTTAAAATGGCTCTTACACATTCTTTGCAAATGACCAAAAATCCAATCGAAACATTGTCTTGGTAATTGTAACTGGTTAGAAAATATCTTAACAATTTGGGAGTATATAAAAAAATCTAGGCTCAATGTTTGGACGTCCAATTTGATGTCACAGAGGTAACCGAAAGCTTTGTCAAATAAAGGACTGTTTTGTTTTGCAACATGTGCAATTGTGCATAAGCAAAAGCATTTTCCTTGTTCAGTTATTGACAGATCGTTGCATGAATTTAGTATTTGGAATACTGTATTGTTTGCAGATGTGTCAGTGGTTTCAAACATTTCCATTTGATCCGAGGACGAGTCATGCTTTTTGGATTTATCAAAAATTTCAATAGCACTTGATAGAGTTTGTAATAATAATTCGGAACATTGTTGACTGCATAATACATTGCAATCAGTATTTAAAAGCACAATCAAATCTCTCATCAAATTTACTGCATCCTTGAAGTTATCAGTAAATTTCAAAGTTTTAACAACTTTATCGAAAGTTGAAACAAATTCTTGGTATAACATTTTAAAATATTTTACCAATTGACAATTCAGAGTGTTCAATATAAAAATTAGGTGATCCAAAGCTATTTTACAAGTTTTTAACAACAATTTGGAACTTTTTAGTGCTTCTAATAAGTACTCACAGTTACCATTCATCAATGTGTATACATCATTAAAATATATGGACTGGCATACTAATTTTTGTGTCTCCATTATTTTACATGATGGATCTTTTGTGGTCACCAAACAATTCATTTTCAAATTACTAATGTAAGGGCTTTTACTAATATTTTTTATACGTTTTGTTGGATTTGTTGATAATTCATTGTTTGAAATGTATGTGAGTTGCACACAGATTCTTGAGTATATTTTATTTGTTATTTTGTTTCTATTAATATCATAATTGGTGTTTGATCGCAAATCTGGTAAAAGCCATTTTAGAATTGAACAAGTGTCGAGAGCGCATTCTGAAATTAAAATCCAAGTATAAAACACTTCATGTGTATTTTGATAACACATTTTAGTACATTTTTTTACAAGAGGTCCTATAAAAGTCTACCGACTTTGAAAATTTTAAATTCATAGTTCAACAAAAGGTCTTAATTAGGGTTTGTCGGTTTTCAAAAACCGGTTTTGAAAACCGGATTTTTGATAAAAATTGAAGAATTCGAAAAAATTCTTTTTTTAATTATTTTATACTTTTATAATTTAAAAAATCGAAAATGAAATTTTTTATTCATCTTTACGCTTCAAAGATTTTTGAACATTTCAGCATACCTTCGAAAAAGTGGATATGTGTGTATCTGTAATCTAAAAATTCTAAAATATAGAAAACCTAAAATTTTAAAATCCTAAAATCTAGGTACCTTAAAAACTAAAATACCTAAAATGTAGAAAACTTAATAATCCTTAAATCTAAAAAACTAAAATCTAAGAATCTTAAAATCTATAAATCATCAAATCTCGAAATCTTTAAAATCTTGAAAACTTAAAATTTAAAACCTAGAAATCCTAAAAGAAAAAGAAAAAATGCTAAAGACTAGAAATCCTAAAATCTTCAAAACCAAAAATCCTAAAATCTAGAAATCCGATAATCTAGAAATCCGATAATCTAGAAATCCTATCATCTAGAAATCCTATAATCTAGAAATCCTATAATCTAGAAATCCTATAATCTAGAAATCCTATAATCTAGAAATCCTATCATCTAGAAATCCTATCATCTAGAAATCCTATCATCTAGAAATCCTATCATCTAGAAATCCATCTAGAAATCCTATCATCTAGAAATCCTATCATCTAGAAATCCTATCATCTAGAAATCCTATCATCTAGAAATCCTTAATCTAGAAATCCTATCATCTAGAAATCCTATCATCTAGAAATCCTATCATCTAGAAATCCTAATCTAGAAATCCTATAATCTAGAAATCCTAAAATCTAGAAATCCTAAAATCTAGAAATCCTACATCTAGAAATCCTACAATCTAGAAATCCTACAATCTAGAAATCCTACAATCTAGAAATCCTACAATCTAGAAATCCTACAATCTAGAAATCCTACAATCTAGAAATCCTACAATCTAGAAATCCTACATCTAGAATCCTACAATCTAGAAATCCTACAATCTAGAAATCCTACAATCTAGAAATCCTACAATCTAGAAATCCTACAATCTAGAAATCCTACAATCTAGAAATCCTACAATCTAGAAATCCTACAATCTAGAAATCCTACAATCTAGAAATCCTACAATCTAGAAATCCTAATCTAGAAATCCTACAATCTAGAAATACAATCTAGAAATCCTACAATCTAGAAATCCTACAATCTAGAAATCCTACAATCTAGAAATCCTACAATCTAGAAATCCTACAATCTAGAAATCCTACAATCTAGAAATCCTACAATCTAGAAATCCTACAATCTAGAAATCCTACAATCTAGAAATCCTACAATCTAGAAATCCTACAATCTAGAAATCCTAAATCTAGAAATCCTACAATCTAGAAATCCTACAATCTAGAAATCTACAATCTAGAAATCCTAACAATCTAGAAATCCTACAATCTAGAAATCCTACAATCTAGAAATCCTACAATCTAGAAATCCTACAATCTAGAAATCCTACAATCTAGAAATCCTACAATCTAGAAATCCTACAATCTAGAAATCCTACAATCTAGAAATCCTACAATCTAGAAATCCTACAATCTAGAAATCCTAAAATCTAGAAATCCTAAAATCTAGAAATCCTAAAATCTAGAAATCCTACAATCTAGAAATCCTACAATCTAGAAATCCTACAATCTAGAAATCCTACAATCTAGAAATCCTACAATCTAGAAATCCTACAATCTAAAATCCTACAATCTAGAAATCCTACAATCTAGAAATCCTACAATCTAGAAATCCTACAATCTAGAAATCTACAATCTAGAAATCCTACAATCTAGAAATCTACAATCTAGAAATCCTACAATCTAGAAATCCTACAATCTAGAAATCCTACAATCTAGAAATCCTACAATCTAGAAATCCTACAATCTAGAAATCCTACAATCTAGAAATCCTACAATCTAGAAATCCTACAATCTAGAAATCCTCAATCTAGAAATCCTACAATCTAGAAATCCTACAATCTAGAAATCCTACATCTAGAAATCCTACAATCTAGAAATCCTACAATCTAGAAATCCTACAATCTAGAAATCCTACAATCTAGAAATCCTACAATCTAGAAATCCTAATCTAGAAATCCTACAATCTAGAATCCTAAAATCTATGAATCCTAAAATCTATGAATCCTAAAATCTATGAATCCTAAAATCTATAAATTCTAAAATTTATGAATCCTAAAATCTATAAATTCTAAAATCTATAAATTCTAAAATCTATAAATTCTAAAATCTATAAATTCTAAAACTAAAAGTTCTAAAATTTAGAAGAAAAACTAAAATTTAGAAAATTTAAGATCCAAAAATCTTCAAATCTAAACTCTTCAAATCTAAAAATCCTATAATCTAGAAATCATCAAATCTAGTAATCCTGAAAATTAAAAAACTAAAATCTAATCTAAGAATCCTAAAATTTAGATAGCCTTAAATCTAGAAAACTTAAAATCTAAAAATCCTAAAATCGGAAATCCTCAAATCTAAAAATCTTCAAAACTAGAAATCCTAAAATCTACAAATCCTAAAATCTATAAATCCTAAAATCTATAAATCCTAAAATCTATAAATTCTAAAATCTATAAATTCTGAAATCTATAAATTCTGAAATCTATAAATTCTAAAATCTATAAATTCTAATATCTATAAATTCTAAAATCTATAAATTCTAAAATCTATAAATTCTAAAATCTATAAATTCTAAAATCTATAAATTCAAATCTAGAAATCCTCAAATCTAGAAATCCTCAAATCTAAAAGTGTGTGTGTGTGTGTGCGGATTTCGGGAACACGGATCAACCGATTTGAATGATTCAAAAAACATTCGATTCCTGCTGATAAGGAGTTTTGAAGATACGGGGCAAAAAGTGCCAAAAATGGTAAATGATTTTTTAAGAGAACGGAGCATCCGATTTGTATGATTCAAAAAACATTTTACTTGTATTGGTGAAATGAACAACTGGTAAAATTTTTGTAAAGGCAGGTCCAGCGTCTCCGGAGATCCAATAAAAAGAGTAAAAAATAATGCCATTTTGCGGTCAAGAATGAACTTTAGACATATGTACATCGTATTATCAGATAATTTATAAAGATCATAATGATGAGTACAATTTTTGTGTACATTTATATGAGTTCCGTAACAATGTTTACAAGTTAGACGACTACGCGGCGCTTACGCGCTTTGATATTTCGACTCCAAATCAGGACAGTTACGATCAATAACATCAACCCGTATCGGCTTGTCGTTGAGTTCTGGGATACCCTGTATGTATATATGTATATATATATATATATATATATTATATTATATATATATATATGAATATTTTATAATCACTTACCTGAGCCATCATTCACCGATATCAAAATCAAAATATCCTCCAGCAATTTCAAGCTTTCATCACTTTAAACAATTTTCCACTAGTATAACACTTTACTAAATCATTTAACAACGTCGATTTCAAAAATTTGTCCATCAAAATTGGTTCGTTTAAACACTTAAGGACGAGTCCATCGACAATTCTACAACATGGACTGACTATCGATTCTTGTTCTCCTAAACCAACATTTCTGCAAGTGGCTTCGAATAATTTAAACCAATTTTCCGCACATTCTACATTGGTGAAGATTTCGAATTCAACTAATGTTTCCACACAATTGCTTAATAAATCGAAGTGATGCGATACTGAACACGAATCCTAAAAGTTTTATAAATAAAAATTCATGAATTATTAACTTCCCATAGGGCAAGTTATAGTAATCGCAAAAAAATCGAAAATGAAAATTTTTATATATCTTTACGTTTCAAAGGTTTCTGAACATTTTGGCATACCTTAGAAAAAATGGATGTATGTGTGTGTGTGTGTGGATACAAATTTCGTCGACGATTTCGGGAACACGGATGAAGCGATTTGAATAATTCAAAAAACATTCGATTCGTATTGATAAGGAGACGTGCTGATTAGTTTTTGGCGAAGGCAGGTCTAGCCGTTCCGAAGATACGGGGCAAAAAGTGCCGAAAACGGTAACTTAGTTTTTAAGAGAACGAAGCGTCCGATTTTAATAATTCAAAAAACATTTTACTTGTATTAACAAGATGAAGACTGAACAAATTTTCATGAGGACAGGTCTAACGGTTTCGGAGATTTAACGATAAAGTAAAAAAAAAATGCCATCTGGCGGTCAAAATGATCATTAGACATATGCACATCAAATTATCGGATATTTTATAGAGATTTCAACAATAAGTATAAATTTTGTTTACATTCCTATGGGTTCCGTACCAATGTTTATTCGTTAGACGGCGACGCGGCGCTTACGCGCTTTGACATTTTGTCTCTATGCAGTTAAAGCAGTACGCCGCTATGAAAAAAGTTCAGATCTTTCAAGATATGCCAAAATAAAAAAAACATTCTTTCAAAAAAAAATTAAAAAAAAAATTTTTTTTTAAATTTAAAAAAAAATTTTTCAAAAAAAAGTAATTTTTTGTCCAATTTATAGTTCTCAAAAATCTCATTTTTTCGAAGTAAATTTTTTTTAAAAATGTCAATCGTTTTTAAAAAAATAATAATTTTGGTACGGGAAGTTCCAGCAATTTGCCTTAAGGCACGATGCCTTAATTGCCTTAAGACAGAATTCCACTTACAGCTAGTATTATATTTATATTATCTGATTTACCTTGACATTAATAAGAAGATCTACAAATGAATTTCCATCGGCGTCGTGCAACTGTTCAGGATATTTATTTACAATGCGACTAAAACTCGAAACCTGCAAAGATAAATTAATTAAAAAT